TGGTTGTTTCATGTTTTGTTTCATGGTTGTGTTCTGTGGTTCTGTTTTGTGGTTCTGTTTTGCGGTGGTGTCTCAGGTGGTTTCAATGTGTCCCAGAGTCAGATTTTATGTCATTGAGCAGAGTCAAAATCTCAGAATATCCTGATTTAGAAGGRCTCATCAGAGTCCTTTGCTGGAGTCTGTACCCTGATCCAGCAGTGCCATGGATGCTTGGACCTGTCCCCATCTGAATTCCTCACTCAGCTTAGCTGAGGATCATAAAATGGGATCATTAATGTTGGAAAAGAGCTTTGGGTTGAGTTTCACAGTCGTATTCGGGGTCGTCTCCCGGAGCTGAGGCAGAGCAGGGAAGGAGTGGGAAAGTCCAAGCAGTGTCACACTGTGACCCTTCCAGATTGGGGATGAGAGCTGGTAGCAGGAGTTGAGTTGAGCTGRGTTGGGTTGAGTTGGGTTGGGTTGAATTGAATTGAGATTCATTGAATTTCATGAAGTTTGATTGAGTTTCATGATTGATGTTCACGGTTTTGTTTGGTGTTGCCTCCCAGAGCCAAGGCAGAGCAGGGGATAAGTGGGAAAATCCAGGCAGTCTCACACTGTGACCCTTCCAGATTGTGACAAGTGCTGGTAGCAGGAGCTGAGTTGAGTTGAGCTGAGCTGAGTTGAGCTGAGTTGAGTTGAGCTGAGTTGAGCTGAGTTGAGTTGAGTTGAGCTGAGTTGAGTTGAGTTGAGTTGAGTTGAGTTGAGTTGAGTTGAGTTGAGTTGAATTTCCTTGAGTTTTGTTGAGTTGCATTGAGTTGCATTGAGTTGCACTGAGTTGCATTGAGTTTCCTTGAGTTTTGCAGTTGATTTTCCTGGTCACAGTTCAGTGTCACCTCCCAGAGCTGAGGCAGAGCAGGAAATAAGTGGGAAAATCCCAGCAGTGTCACAGTGTGACCCTTGCAGGTTGGGGACACGTGCTGGCAGCAGGAATTCCTCCTCTCAGAGGAGCTTCCCTGCTTTGTGCTTTGCTCACTCACCCCAGCACAGCTGGATTCATGGCCAGCTGGACACAAGATTTGCTGCATTATTGCAGTGAGATCAGCTTTGCTTGAAATGAGGATTCCACTGTGAGGCCAGGGACCTCCTGGCTGTGACCACCCCGAGGTGTCAAAACAACTCTTTCCAAAAGCTTTGCAAGTTGTGAATCACTAAAATGTCTTAAAGTTGTAATTTTAACTTGTGAGAGGATGYTCAGGGTGGTGAAAGTGCTTCATGGCGTAATGGGGCTTTTCATGGTGGTTTCTGGAGTGCAGGGGGAGGCTTTGGGAAGGGTTTGAGCACACAGATGTGCCCGTGGTGTCACACCTGGCCTGCCTTTCAGGTTCATCCAGCTCAAACTGGAGAGGGCCACCCCGGCCGAGCGCCAGCTGGTGTTCAACGAGATCCTGCAGGCGGCCTACCAGCTCATGGTGGATGTGTTCGGCAACTACGTCATCCAGAAGTTCTTCGAGGTCAGTCTGCTTGCCCTTCAGCTCCTCCTGGGGTTCCTGGGGAGTTGGATGAGCCTGGAGAACCTAGCTTTGGCCCTAAAACTGTGGATAACTCAGCACTGACAACCATCCCTGAGGGGTGTGACTCAGGTTCAGCTGGAAAGCAGCACTTTGAGATGCAGAAGGTGTTGGGATAAACAGCAACATGTCCAGGAGATGGAAATTTCCAGTGGCAGAGRTTTGGAATGAGCTGAGGTCATTCTTTAAGGTGCCCTCCAGCCCAGATCACTGTGGGATTCTGTGGGATTCTGTGAGATTCTGGATGCAGATCCAACAGAGCCTGTCCAGGGTGCTGTGCTGAGCTCTTGGTGCTCAAGGATTTAGGAACAAGAAAGGAACTTCTCCAATAGCAGCAGCTGCTGGATCAGTGTTGAGTCCCACCCCAGCCCTGCCTCTTGACTCTGGTCTGCTCCTTCTCCACCCGGTGCTCCTGGGGCTTCTGCCCAGGAATTGGGAATCCCAGAACCTCCTGGGCTGGAAGGGCCCCCCAGGATCACCCAGTCCAGCTCCAGGCCCTGCCCCAAGAATTTCCCCCAGTGCCTGAGACATTGCCCCAACGCTCTGGGGCTGTGACCTGTGCAGGGTCAGTGTCCTGGCAGGTGCCACCCTGGTGGCTCCAGCCCCTTGGGAATGTTCCAGACAGACACAGAGCACATCCGGCTCGTGCCAGGGGTTGACCTTTCATCCTTCCCAGTGGGCAGCTCCTGTCTCCCCGGGCAGGAGAGCAGTGCCAGTGGCCAGGGGAGGGCTCTGTCCTGGCACTGACCGTTTCTCCTGTCCCAGTTTGGCAGCCTGGAGCAGAAGCTGGCGCTGGCTGAACGCATCCGTGGCCACGTGCTGTCGCTGGCCCTGCAGATGTACGGCTGCAGRGTGATCCAGAAGGCGCTGGAATTCATCCCCCCAGACCAGCAGGTAATTGTAAGTTTCAATTTTAACTTTCTTCTTGATGTTTGCCGTTGCTGAGCCATCCCCTCCTGTCCCTCTGTGCCCGCTGTTCCCTCGGTTTGGTTCCCGGTGTGTTTGTGGTGTTCCCTGTCTGTGCTGCCATCCCTGGGTGTCGCTGTCATCTCCTCGTTCTGCTTCCCTGGCCGTGGGACTGCCTCTCTGCTCATTCCCTGGAAGCAGATTACGTGTGTAGGGAAAACTGAGAATGAGGGTGAGTTCAAAGATATTTTTAAATCCCTGGAAGGAAGAGTTTTGCCTTTAATATTCARCGAGTTATCGCAATGTGGGTCAGCATCGTGCCGTCCTGCAGGGAGATGGATGAGTAGCTCCTCGTTGTGGCTTCGCAGAGATGTGGCTGATTGCCCCACTCCGAGCTCATTAATCAAGCACTTCCTCAAGGGCTTTGGGAGAGATGAATCAAGATGAAAAATACGCCAAGCAGGCAGCTGCAAGAGGCTTGGGAATGGTTGGAACGGGAATCTCAATGTAGGTTATGAAATTAAAAATCTGCAAGAGGCTTTCGGAGGGGTCATTCCCTTCAGGCCGAGCCTGAGCCAAGTGTGTCAGCAGGGCAGTGCCCATCTCCAGCTCTGCWGCTGCCAGCATTCCCTGTCTCCTCTAGAATGGCATTTTGGAGTGCTCAGAGCTCCCAAAATCTCCGGGTTTAATTCAATTACAAAACCGGACTCATCCAGTTTTTGTCACAGCATTGAAACACCCCAGTGTCATTCTCTGTAAGTGACGCTCTCAGGCTGCACCTGGGGCACATCAGTCATGGCCAAACTTCATTAATTCCTTAATGATCACCCCATGTGTGAGATCCCAGCAGGTTCTGAGCCCAGAGCTGACCCTGGTTTAGTGCCAGGGGACCCTGACACCCCAAGAGTTGGTGAACTTTGGACATTCTAGATTTGCTTCTGTTTGAGGGKAGCAGAGGGGRAAATGGGGAATGAGCAGGAAAGCAYAGATCAGTGACGATCCTGTAATTSGGATAATCAGGAAGGAGAAGCTTTACCTTCCTAGAATCCCAGGGTGGTTTGGGTTGGAATGGACCTYGAGCTCCTGCTCCAGGGACCCTCCCACCAGGCCGGGGTGCTCAGGGGGTGTCAGAGCAGGATTTCCCTGCTGGTTCCTGCAGCCCTGCAAAGCTTCACCTTCTGGCCCCTGGAGAATCCCTCATTCCTGTGCCATTCCTGTGCTGTTCCTGTGCCTGTGCCATCCCTCCTCCATTCCTGCTCCATTCCTGTGCCTGTGCCATCCCTGTGCTGTTGCTGTGGCTGTGCCATTTCTGCCCCACTCCTGCCCCACTCCTGCCCCACTCCTGCCCCACTCCTGCCCCATTCTTGCCCCATCCCTGCTCCATTCCTGTGCTGCTCCTGCCATTCCTGTGCCTGTACCATTCCTGTGCCACTCCTGTGCTGTTCCTGTGCTATTCCTGTGCCTGTGCCATTCGTGTCTGGGTCAGCAGTGCCAGCTGTGCCCTCCTGAGCCAGGGACACTGGTGGTGCTTTCTGTTTGTGCTCTCTCCTCCTGTAGAATGAGATGGTTCGGGAGCTGGACGGGCACGTGCTCAAGTGTGTCAAGGACCAGAACGGGAACCATGTGGTGCAGAAGTGCATCGAGTGTGTGCAGCCCCAGTCACTGCAGTTCATCATCGACGCCTTCAAGGGACAGGTGAGTCCCTGTTTGGAGCAGACCCAGAGTGGCTGTGGCTGGAATTCCTGGGAATTCTCAATTTCAGCTCCACTGATTTTAGCAGGGTTGGTACAGGCACGTGAGGGAGCCCAGGAGCTCCTCGGTCACGTCCCCATTACCATTTCTGGGCAGCTCTGTCAGGGTGAAGCCTCCTTGCCTGAGTCTGTTCCCCTGGAATATTGAATATTTCTGAGTGATGGAGGGAGATCCAGGCTCTYCCTGATCCATTTTCTCAGGGAACGTGGGGAGCAGAGTTTGTGTTTCCTTCTGATCCCTGGCTGTGCCGAATGCTGCCTCTTGTGGGCCTCAGAGCAGGGCAAGCACAGGATTTTCACCCAGAAATGGGCAGTTTGGTCCTTATTCCTTCGGGTTTTTTGCTTTTTTGTTGGTGATCTCCTGAATTGATGTCCTGGGTATCAGCAAGGCTGGCTTTGTTCCTGCCTCAGTCAGCTCATCCCCCAGTACCAAAGTGCTGCTTTTGGTGTTCCCAACCCTTGATTGGTTTTGCAGGGACACTTGGAGGTTTTGAGGGATTTCCCACAGGGATGTGGACAGTCAGGGAGGAACAAGGAGCTGGGAGTCCTGGGAAAACCTTGGATCTGACCAAGCAGGATTGTGGCTGCAAACCTGCTCCTGCTTTGAGTTTAACCTKGGATTTTCCACTGGGAGTTCAGGAAGGCAGAAACATCTCCTTGACCAGTTGCCCCAGTTCCATCTGAACATTCCACTGGCACATTAAACTCCTCACCTGCACATTGATTTCCCTGCAGTTCATTGCACTCCCAGCCCCATTTCCCTGAAGGGTTTGTTCACCAGTTATTAAAAACGTGGCACTGTTGATTTAAACAGCAGCGTTTGGATTTGCTGCCAGTGTTACATTAAAGCCACCAAACAGGAGCAGCAATAATAAAACGTGTCATGTTCTCACCCCTGGATTTGCTAATCTGTCCAAAATGAGAAAGATTCTTTTGTTGTCACTTCTCCTAAGCACTCTTAAGGCTTTTAAACAAATCCAAAGAGTTGAGGAAAATCCTTTGCCAAGCATTTTTAACTTTTCCTGCCTCATGGCATTTCTTCCATAGCTCAAAATTTGTGCTGGCAGACGATGTGCTGAAATTATCTGGGGAGAATGACCAAGCTTCCAGCAAGGCTTGCTTCTTCAATGGCATTTTTATTGATCAGGAGGTTTTAGCATTTGTTTTTCATGGATGGGGAAGCTCAGGCTGCCCCAGGTAGGGATGGGACGTGCCAGGATCCCAGTGGGTGTTCCCAGTTGGGTGTCAGTTGGTTTCCAGTGGGTGTTCCCAGCTGGTTCTAGTTGATTCCCAGCTGGTTCCCAGTTAGTGGCTAGCTGGTTCCCAATTGGTGCCCAGTTGATTCCCAGCTGGTTCCCAGTTGTACCCAGTTGGTTCCTAGTGGGTGTTCCCAGTTGATTCCCAGTTGGTGCCCCCGCAGCTGCCATTCCCCAGCTTTGCCATTCCCCAGCTCTGTCATTCTCTGGCTCTGCCATTCCCCGGCTCTGCCATTCCCCGGCTCTGCCATTCCCCAGCTCTGCCATTCCCCAGCTCTGCCATTCCCCAGCTCTGCCATTCCCTGCAGCTCTGCCATTCCCTGTGTCTGCCATTCCCTGTGTCTGCCATTCCCTGTGTCTGCCATTCCCCGGCTCTGCCATTCCCCGGCTCTGCCATTCCCCGGCTCTGCCATGCCCTGCACAAGCCCCAGGCAGTTTCTGGGACCCCAGCCTGACCCAGTGCCCCCTGTGCCCGCAGGTGTTTGCGCTGTCCACGCACCCGTACGGCTGCCGGGTGATCCAGCGCATCCTGGAGCACTGCCTGCCYGAGCAGACGCTGCCCATCCTGGAGGAGCTCCACCAGCACACGGAGCAGCTGGTGCAGGTCAGTGGGGACGGGCTGGGAGRGACAGGATTCCATCAGCACGGCCAYRARGTGCCARAGGTGCTGTCACCTCCCTTCCTGAGGAGTCCCAAAGTGTCTCCGTGTCCTGGTGCTGCCCTGCGGCACAGGGAGGAACTGAAGGATTTCAGGAGCTGATTCCTCCAAGGAAAAGGAGATGCCAAGCTGCTGGAATTGTTAAAATGAGTTGGTTTGGTGCTCAGCCCCTTCTGGCTGCTTCTTCTCTTCCTTGCAGCCCTGCTGTGCCAGGGTTTCACACCAATTCTGCTGCTGGGGCACGTAGATAAAGCAGCAAAGAAAGTGCTCAGCAGCTGGAAGAGGTTGGATGTGGACATCAGGCCTGTGGGATCCTGAGCTGGAAAATAAATATCCTGTGATCAGAGTATTCCCAGATTCAGAACTTTAAAGGGCAGCATCCCATACCCAAAACAGTGACACAGCCCTCCAAGACATGGGGTTTGGTAGGTTTGAACCTGGAGAGAGGAAAAAAAGATGGGAATAAGCAGAATATTGATATTCCTGTGCAAGGACATAATTTTGTGTTTCATAAATAATACAGTTTCTACAGAAACACAGCATTTTACCACCTGGTACCACTCCAAGAATGCACATTTTGGTGGAAGTAGAAAGTATTGCACTGATTTGTACAATAAATATTGTAATTAATTGAAATTGTAATCCCAACTCTGAATGCACTTTGGCARTCGATTTGCTGGGAATGTTTCCTATCCACTTTTCCACCTTTTGTGACCCCTGCTGCCATCCCCAYGCAGGATCAGTACGGGAATTACGTTATCCAGCACGTCCTGGAGCACGGCCGGCCCGAGGACAAGAGCAAGATCGTGGCAGAAATCAGAGGCAACGTGCTTGTGTTGAGTCAACATAAATTTGCCAGGTAGGAATCCCTTCCTTAAATTCTCCCTCTGGGAGCATGGACACATGGAGGAGCTGCACTAGAGTTAGGGCTGGGTGTAGGGAGGTGAAAAGAGGTGAAAATTAGTTTTGCTTGATGAAAAAATGTCACTTTTAGCTGTTATAAATGGGGGTGTGGCAGCCAGATCAGTCTGTCATGGAGGAGGAGGAAGGAGATGTGGAAGAGGAGCTCGGATCCAAGCTCCTGAATTTAACCAGGAGTTCTTGTGTGTTTTGAAGTTTTTATCTGATTTATTTTGATGRGTTTAAGTGGTCACTGCCCCTTGGGTAATTCAGTAAGAACATTSAGTGCCCCAGGATGCTGTGTGCAGCCACCAGGGGGTTTGGGAAATCAGTGCAGCAACAACTCATCCCCCTTTTCCCAGAGGAATTCCCACTCCCAGCAGCATTTCCCAGCTTTTTGCTGTGTCCCTTTGGATTCACACACAAGGAAGCTCTTCCAGGGAAGTTGCAGCATTCCCAGATGCCACACAGCCATGCCTGGCGAAGCAAATCCCGGTGTTTGTGGCTGTCAGGACACAGCAGTGCTTCCCACGGATGGGAATTCCTTCAGTGTGGGTTCCAGCCCCTGGAATGTGAAGGCTGAGCTCTTCCAAGGCTCAGAATTCCCCTGCTCTGATGAGTGGAGCGGGGTTTCAGCTCTCAGGAGCTCGAGGGAGCTGTAACATTAATGAGAGCCAGGAGAGCGCGGTTCTCGTGTCCTTATTCCGGGTTCCTCCTCCCTGCCTTGCCTGGCTCTTTTTCCCTGAATTCCCTTCCAKCTGCAGCATTAATGAGTGCAGGGTGTCCCCGGGGCTGAGTGGCCCCRCTGGGTGATCCTGACTCAGGGCTGTGGGGATGGGACCGGCCCAGCTCAGCCCCCGCTCACATGCCCTACTTAACTCAGCTCTGCACTGAAATATTCGGGAATTCTGGAGATCCTCTTCCCTACCTGAGGTTCTTCATTCCTGAATGAGCATTTCCCTGTTGTTGTGACCTTGGATCCRCATTCCTGCCCTGTTTCAGTGGGGAAAAAGCCCAACCAAACAGCACAACTTGGGTTCTCTGTTGTGAGGGTGGGCACTGATCCCACACAGCATCACTGGGAACTGACCCCACACAGCATCCCTGGCCATTAACCCCACACAGCATCACTGGGCACTGACCCCACTGTGCACTGACCCCACACCTCACTGCAGAGCTGCACAAGCTGGGGTGAAATAGGAACTGGTCCATATCCCAAATTGATGTTGCTGAGTTCCACCAGCCCAGATCACCTGCCTCTGTAGCAGTATTGGAGATGTCCTTGGGGTGGGATGAAAAGCTCAGGGGAGACATTTTCTACTCAATTCCCTGCTCCATTCCCGGCTCCCTGCTTCCCTTCCCAATTCCCTGCTCTCATTCCCCATTCCCATTCTCCCATTCCCCATTCCCATTCTCCCATTCCCCCGTTCCCAGTCCCTGTTCTCCCATTCCTGTTCCCCATTTCCAGTTCCCAGCTCCCATTCCCTGCTCCCTGCTCCATTCCCAGTTCCCTCCTCAAGTGCCCGCTCCCCATTCCCCACTCCTATCCCCATCGCCATTCTCCATCCCTGTTCCCATCCCTGTCCCCATCTCCTGCTCCCACCCCCATCCCCATTCCACATCTCCATCCCCATTTTCTGTTCCCATCCCCATCCCCATTCCACATCTCCATCCCCATTTTCTGTTCCCATCCCCATCCCCATTCCACATCTCCATCCCCATTTTCTGTTCCCATCCCCATTCCCGCTGACGGCTGCTCTGCCCTGCAGTAACGTGGTGGAGAAGTGTGTGACGCACGCGTCGCGCACGGAGCGGGCCATGCTGATCGACGAGGTGTGCACCATGAACGACGGCCCCCACAGTGCCTTATACACCATGATGAAGGACCAGTACGCCAACTACGTGGTGCAGAAGATGATCGACGTGGCCGAGCCCGCCCA